TGAGTGTGTGGACAGGTGTATTTTATACAGGTAACGAGTTCAAACAGGTGCAATTAATACAGGCAATGAGTGGAGGATAGGAGGGCTTCTTAAAGACAAACTAACAGGTCTGTGAGAGCCAGAATTCTTGCTGGTTGGTAGGTGATCAAATACTTATTTCATGCAATAAAATGGAAATAAATTATTTAAAAATCTAACAATGTGATTTACTTGAATTTTTTGTAAATTCTGTCTCTCACAGTTGAGGTGTACCTACGATGAAAATTACAGAACTGTCCATTCTTTGTAAGTGGGAAAACTTGAAAAATCGGCGGTGTATCAAATACTTATTTGCCAGACTGTAAATATTACACAAGCCTAATAGTGACATAGTACCATATAAACATGTTGGTGGCAGCGTATTGTTCACTTGTGCCATTCCATACACCATCTTGTGCTACATTTCTACTACCACAAACTAACACCTCCAATTCAAGTATCTAACGTTAACTATGTCTTGCAGTCAAGTTGCAAACAAGCAGCACTTCATTTACAAGTGACAAAAAAAAAAAACTGTAAAACTTGTTCCTACCAGTGAGAAAATATCTGAGGAAAGTAAACACACACATAGCTGAGAATATTGTCTTAATTAACAGAGTTTACCAAAGGCAGTCCAATCCTACGCTGCAACATACATACAATAACTTATCTTAATGAAATGCTTTTTACACAAGGTTGAAAAGCCACGTGTTCAGCAGCACTCTGCCTTACAATAATTAAAGCTTGGTTTAATATACTCACTCGCCACAGAAAACTAATTATTACAGTGCCAATTACAAAAAAATAATTATTTATGCAGTTGTAATAAAAAAGAAAAATTTATAAACTGCAGTATCTTTTCACTTAAAATGTTCCAACAAGTAGTCTGAAATCACACAATTCAATCCTCTCAGGGTTGAAAGCATTGACTTCTTTTACACATATCCCTTCAAACTGTATAGTACTGTATAGGCAAACATTTTAAGTTTGAAAGATCCATAACATGACAGGGTTTTCCCTAGGTTTTCTAAAGGCTGAAGCTTGATTTATGGTTCTGTGTTGAATCTAGGGCATAGGTACAATATAGGTAACTCGTAGCCTCGTACCCTATGCTGCAGCATGATGTGCACCTCTCAGAAATGTAACTACACATGATGGTGGTGCAGACCAAAACAACTAATTGGTCGCATCACTTTTCCTCATTAATGTCTCATGTAGAACCATTACACACACACACTGGCAGAGCAGTTTTATTGGAACTGGAAAGCAATGCCTAAAATGTAGCAGTTAGTTGGAAACAAAGGAAGACGTAAGTGTCTATGTAGAAATTAAGAAAGGGTAGGTATTCCTCCCCTTTTAGGGCGCTGTCAAACTGATGTGAGATCAGTTGATGTTGTTTACTGTCTGTTTATACTGCTTATTTTGCATTGTTTGCACAGTTTGTTGCTTGTTAATACTGCTTATTTTGTTATATTACACAGCCTTATGCTGGTTTACTGTTTACTTGCCCCTTGCATGGGGATATGTACATACACATTGAGAGCCGTTAAATTCTTCATGTGTCCGACACACCTGGCCAATAAAGCTGATTCTGATACATGAGCCCCTAGCTGGGGCTATCCTGTCACAGCTTTCATTTTGAGATCAAGTTACCTCTGTTATTTTTCAGCACATATAACACAATTGTTTTTACATTCATTCTGATATGTCACCTTTTTACATTCATCTGGCTTAGGCGCTCTGCAATATAGCTGTAATTGGGCCTGAAAAGTTAGGCCCGACAGAATTTGGCCCGAGCCCGACAAGTACATTTTTGATTGATAGCCCGAACCCGTTTACAGCCCGACATCATTCAAATGTGCGCACGGCGCACGCACACAGCATTGCTCAACATGCCTTCTCAGCGAGGAATTCCCTGTCGTTTTGCTGTCGTATTTTAAGAGAACGTTACATTTCTTGCATTTTACATAACCCACTGGGTCATTGTTCTCGTTATGAAGTGAAACGCATCACGTGACCACTAATTTAACGCGCGAGCCCGAGCCTGAGCCCGGCCTGAGTAAAAATGATAGAAATTAAGCCTGACCCGTCGGGTGCCCGACGGTCGGGTCGGGTTCGGGCTAAGAATTACAGCTCTACTCTGCAAAAACACAAGCTACTGTTGTGCTCAACACATTGAAAATTGAGACTGCGTACTGTGACATCAACAGAGAGACAAACTGTTTATACTCGCACTTGAGGCATGCTTGATCTGCTGCACTCTTCTCCTAAGCTAGCCAGCAGATAATGAAACTACAGAACAGGTGAATGAAGCTGAATGAATGTTTCTGTGTTAGACAGCACATGTTGTAGCTAGCTAGCTTTCTACCTAGCCAGCACAGCAAGCCATAGATGTCTGTACAGGGTTGTATATAGTATGTCTGTAGAGACAGACCTGCTCACACACTCTTGCCCTCAGCTCCTCCATTTACTACTTTTCCATCCTCGTTAAATGGCACCTCGTGCACCAAGTTACAAAAATTGAGAGATGCACAACTAGCCAAAATGACACCAATGTGCACCATGCGCTAGCAGTTGTGATGTCATATTAGGCATGTGCCACCAGGCACACAGGTTAGAATGGTGAGTATAAACTAGGTGTTACGTGCCTTTCTATAGTAGGGAAAACCCTGCATGAGAAAACAATATGGCATGAATGATGATTGGCTCAAATATTATGGGGAAAGATGCTTTGGTTTTGTCTAGGTTCTACAAATAATGGCGTATGCAATTAAACAATTGTTAGACAAATGAAACCACACAGGTATCACACACAGCAGAAAATGAACAAATCCTAAAACATTAAAAAATGTTGCTATTCTAAAATTTCTCTTGCTCTCCACAGAAAAAGCTGCATTGCATACTGTAAAAGGTAAAGAACCAGTTCATTGACTAATACTAAAAACTTTATATTTCATTTTGCACATAAATAAATCTGCTGATCTGACTTCGGAAACATCAGTAGAGACATGGTTTAGCACTTTTTCACAGTTATAGGAAATATACTTTCCATTTATTAATGGCTGTTACCATTAAGTTCTGATCCTGTAATCAAGTCTTCTGCCATTCATCCAGAAGTCTCAATGTTCTCTGTCTCAAGAGTTCAATAGCTTCTTCTAGGATTGTAGAAACAAGCCATGACATTCCCCAGCTCACAGTGGATAAACTGTAATCAAACAGACCACTGTTTCAAATCAACTGTCTGAAAGAGCATGACTCAGCTTATGCGTGAAGCTGTACAGCAACAAATGGATAAGATGTCTACTAGGTCCTACACATAAGAACATCTGCAAATGGGCCTAGGAGGTTCTTGTTGAAAATACATCGAACCCACACCAGATAGGTGGTGAAAGGCTTAATGTTCTCTGAAAAAGTGTAGTTCTGCTGTGGAAGGATATAAGGCATGTAGGTATTCTCTCCTTGCTCCTGGATCCACACTTCATACTTCACCTCTCTTACCTTCAGGTATTTCAGATTCCATGGGATCTGCCAGGAGACTGTGAGTTTAGCCTCATTAGTAGTTTGTACAGAGGTCTGACACTGGGGTTCTCTAACCCGGCCTGGGTGGACTGTGCTGGCTAACTTTGACTTCTTAAAGCTGGGCTTGGTCTTCATGCCCTCTTTGAGAATTTCCAAGAAAGAAGGAATGTCCACCAATGTGTCCTGGTAGATCCGGAAGAGCCACTCTGGGTTACGACAGCACAGGTGCCTGGGGACATCCTTACTGGCCAGTATTCGCTCTTGCTCTTCCTTCTCCAAGTGAGCAATGCCTCCTTGTTCCCAGGTTCTGTCTGGGTGGGTGATGGTGTTCTCTTCCTTAGTGTTCCTCCAAGAGATATAGTGAAGATCCATGCCTGGAAGAGATGCAAGGGTTTTATATGGGGTGTACTGTTCTGGGTTTACAGCAAAGGGGAACAGCTCCACCACAGTAGCTCCTCTGGGGAGGAAAAGTGAGGTGATTAGTTGAGCTCCATGCATGCTTACTAACATGGAAGCACCACTGATCACCTGGACGATACTATTGAAAGACTGTTCCTCCAGGGATACTGTGACTACTTTCATCTGGAACTCCTGTGCCAGTGCCATGATTAGCTCTGCTTCATTAATTATCAGCCTTGTTGTTGAACGAGTAAACACAACAATATAATCATCCTTCTCTTTCTCATCTTCGGCACTCCCTCCATCTTTCTCAGCCTCCTCCACTCTGGTAATGTTCATTTTTACCATCAGAGCTCTGGCAAACTGCCGGATCTCATTGCCTGAGACCAAGATGTTGGCTTTAGGCCCCTGTGGCTGGACAAATCCATACTGGTACCAGGTGGTCATCTTGGATAAGCCAACATAAGATTTGGTAAAACACATTAATTTGCCAAAGTTTCTAAGCTGTTCTTTAAGCAGTGGCTGCTTGCTGCTGAGAAGGCGGTAGAGGTCGAAATGTGGGCCTTCACCCCATCCCTCCATGAACACCAGACGAGCCTCATCATCCAAGTCTGAATATTGTTTCATGGTATAGAAGGCTGGGAGTAGGTCATCATGGAATACATGCATTAGGTTATCTGGATTAAACCGGTTTAGGATCAGTGTCACATCTGGTACAAATACAGGCTTAGGCATAAACTTTAAAGCCGCAGCAGGGAGCTCTAAAAAGTTGAAGTACTGGGTGTTGTGATCCTCTACTGATGACAGGTCAAGCAGGGCAGGCTGGAAGCGCCTAGACCCCAGATTAGGCAACATGACAGAGGAATTGGAGTGGAAGAACACAAACTCCTCTGCCTCAGAGCAGTAGCAGAGGTAGTCAAAGCGGCAGATACGGTCAGTGTGCATCTTACCAGTACAGACCATACGGGTGCCATGTTCTTGAAGAGCTTGCAGGGCAACGTGGTAGTCAATGTGTTCCTGTGAGACCTCCTGTGACTGCCGCGTCATGTGCAGCTCTTCCTCCAGCAGGGCAGCATGCTCACTTAACTTGGAATACTTCCAAAGCAGAGCTGCAACCACAGAGACCAGCAGCCCATTAAGGAGCGCACCCACGCTCATCCTGCAGCCTCCCACTGAAGCCCGCATCACTGCTGGTGCTGAGGACCCACCGCCCGGCTCCAACTGGGCTGTAACCTCAGAGGGGAGCAACGAGACATTCACCTCCTGGCAATGACTTGGACAGAGAAAAGGAGAAGACAAATGTTGGTGGAGCAACACAGGGGATAGGAGGTAGATAGGAGAGGGTAGGTGAGGAAAAGCAAGGAAGAGAAAAGATGAAAGGACATAAGGTAAAGAAGAAACTAATCATAAAACCAACCTAAAAACACACAAAAAAAGTCAATTATTGCTGGTAATCAGGTAAGAACTATGCTTAATTGTTTACGAGCAAAGACACAAAAGATTGTGGATATAATTAACACATCTATAGAGCTCCAGTACAGTATAATGGTGCGGTGCTCTTTATGTAAGCAACACAGTCCAGTGACTCATCAGATCAGGTTTCAGCTCTCACCTTTGGGAAAAGAGGTTTTTTACCTTGGCAAACAAATTAGACATTTTTCTAACCTTACATCCACTGTCACCTTCCCTAGCATGCCCAGACAAATTACACTGCGAGGAAGCACAGAGGGAAGAACAAGAGTGTTGCTTTCAACTCTATTCATCTGCACAGTGAGAGAACAAATGAGTCATTGAGATGCTCTAAATCAAACCAACAGCCAATGGCCAGCAGCTGCCTGCAGACACGAGGCAACTAGCATGCTAAATACCCATCTGAGGGTCAGTTTCATTAAGTTACAACAAAAGGTTGTCATCTGAATTAATTACTTACTATTTTATTCCTCCGTTTAACAAATGTATGTGCATATCAACAAGCACCTTAGACATAGCTGAGCAGAGGGAGAGGGATGATCTCTAGTCAGTGCTTTCTTTGACATGGCATTCTGTATGCGACAAAGTTGGATTTAGAAAGCAACCATTTTCCTCTGAAAATGGTCTTCTGGCAGATAAGAAAGAACTCAAATCAAATTAAACCAAGACAGGAGTCTAGATGAACACACGCACACACCAATTCATAATAGCAGACATGAACAACAATGCTAACACTAAGCCTAGACTGAAAACATGTGGACAAACTCTTGTTTTTGTTGGTTTGTTTTATTTTGTCTCACTCGCTTGTGCCAGTAATAGTCCATATCTCAAATTTCACGTCTTTGTGATCAAGGGAGGTGACAGTGGTGCGGTGGGTAGAGCAGTTGTCTCCCAACCAGAAGGTTGAAGGTTTGAATCCTGGTGCCTCCAGTCCATGTGTTCAAGTGTCCTTGGGCAAGACACTGATAAAGATGATTATCCTTAAACTCAGTATTTCTGTTATTGCTCCAACATTATATTTAGTTTATAGATAATATCATTCTATTCTCAGTTACTATCTTATTTGACTTGCACTTTTGCTTTCTTGCTCCCTAGCCATCAAACGTCACCTCTTTCTGCTCTTCCTCCATTTTCTTGCACACTGTCTCTGTTCTGCAGGAGGGAAACACAGTCCCTGGGCTATTTTTGACATCTTAGAAAGAACAATATGTCCCTGGCAACAGGGGCACTCTTTGTGATCAAACTCAGTAAATGCACACAGGCAAAATATGGACAATTCAAATGTACAATTCCTCAGAGAAGAGAGAACAATGTCAACTGACAATACATAATTGGGAAATATTAAAAGTCTTACTTCTGAATGATGACCATCTTAGAAACAAGCAGTTGCTTATTGTGCAATTTACAAATAAAACACATTGTTGCTAATATTTGTTACAGTTAAGGAGTCCTGCACTTTAAACGGGACTTTCACTCCAACTCAGTGGACTGAATGTTAGAATAGCCTTCACAAGAAGTTTTGGTGTAGAGCCAGAGGTAGTGCCAGCATTTGTGATGTTGTTGTGATGTTAGTATTTAGAGATAACCTTGATATAGACTTTGTGTGTTTTATGCTAGTTAAATGGTCTTTTGTCATCAATTCGGTCCGTTTCCTTGGATGGCGAGAATGATGTTCATGCCGGTGAAAGATGGGGAAAAACAGCACGCAAATCTCAATTTTTTGACTTCAAAAAAGAAAATAAATAACAATTCCTCACTCATGGGACATCAACCAAAGTGTCTGCTTATTTCAGCAGTTTTTTAAGATTATGCAATCGGTAGCTATGCGAAACCAGCTGACATAGTATGTGGGTATGGTGAGAGATGCCAGAATGGCAGCAATGAAGATGTTGAGCCATGCTATAGCTATAATATCATCCCAGGAGAAGGAATTGGAGATTTCTTGTTTTTTTACTGTGTAGCATTTTGAGAACTTTGCCTTCCACCTTGTTAGGCACAAAAGAAATATTGAACAGCCAAGCAGACAGGACAAAGCCAGAAGATGCCAACCAGCTGGAAAAGCAAATATAACTGCCAGTCTTGTAACACTGCATGGTGTTGTTACAGAGGCCAGTCTTGTGACTGAGGTAAATTTACCTTCCCCCAGACCAGAAAAATAGAACACACTCAGAAGGGACCAGCATGAACAGCTCTTATCATTCAAAATGCTGTCTTATTAGAACCACAGTTTTATTAAAAAGCAAAATGTGACTATTACTTGTCCACCCTTTACATTTCACCCTAAGTTATATACTATACTACACTACACTACACACTGTAACTGTGTATGTGATGAATAATAGAAAGAAAGTCACTTTCGGCTTTTCCTGTTTAGGGGTCACCACAGCAAATCGTCACACTGACGACTCGCATGTTGACATTTGGCACATGTTTTATGCCGGCTGCCCTTCCTGACGCAACCCTGATTCAAACCCCGGGTCACAGTGGCGAGAGCACTGCGCCTTAACCACTAGCCTACCAGGGACATGTGATGAATAATAAATTTTAAAAAATCCTGAATCCTTCAAGATACCTCTGGAAATGCATCTGAGTTTTAAAAAGTAATTAAAAAATCTGTTCTAATATTCAAGAACAAACCAAATTTGTGTGAGGCTTGTCTTCATCAGTCCATACTGTCTGGAAAGCTGTTGGTTAACAGTGCCTTAAATAGAGACGCGACCATTCCAGCCCAAACAACTCATTCAACACTCTCCACAGCCTTAATCAGCGCCAAGAAAACCATCATCATGTATGGACACAATCAATATTACACTTTGGAAAAACCTACTAGTCAAACACATATAATTGGAAAAAGTTCTGCCTCCATTGGGAGACACACTGCTGATTTTGACATACTCTGGAATCCATTCATCTACGCACTAAATTCTTAATTACTGCATAAATAACGCCATTCATATCATATTTGATACGCAAGTTTCTGAAACCTCTATCTTATCAACATGATCAATACTTTCCTTTAAAATCTGTAGTATATGATCTGCTACATGTATTCTGCCCTCTAGTGGATTATCATTCCACTGCAGGCAGTGGAAGGGCTTTTTGTGGCGTTTTCAAAAATGGCCACTGTCATTAAATCATCCACACACTTTTGGGAGGAAAATCTTTGCTAATTTTCAAGACGTTACGGTAAGAATAACATTTATATTGTTACTCATGTTTTAAAATAAATAGTTTCTGTATTGAAACAATGCAGAATTACATAATTATTCATTCATTATATTACATTTAAATCATGTTTAAAATGTGGTATCAAATTTGATACTGCAGGTATATAAGGTGCTTTATCCCTGAATAGTCATGTCATATTTTTGTAATGTAATCTACATCATGCCTACCACAATACAAACACACACTATTTTGATGATTTAATCAAATTAATGACTGAAATGCCATCTTAAAATATATTTTGGGTATTTTCACAATAACAATTCCTCTGAAATCGCTATGCTATATTGACCAATTTGTTATGTATGTATTTTTAGATGTCAAAAAGAATAGAGGAAGAAGAGAGAAAAAGAAGGTACATTGAAAATGTCATCAACATGATAATGGATGGCAATTGAAGTGACATAGAGCAGATAGGGGAAGATGATGATGAGGATGAGGAGGAATGGACTCCTCAGGCCATGCATGATGATGGAAGTTCAGATAGCAGCGATGAGGAAGACTATCAAGATGAAAGTGTAGCCCAGACAAGCACGGAAGTTGAGGCCCCAATAACAAAACAGGACACAATCAGAAAGGAGTCAGTGAAGGGCAATGCAAAAAGGAAAGAATACAGATGGAGAAAAATACAATATCAAGCTCCATCCATGTCGATTTCATTGCATGTGTTGAGGAAGGCAGAGAGGACAGGTGTACCTGGACACCATATATGTATTTCAAACTGTTTGTCACTGTTGAAATACTACAGGAACCTGCAGAACAAACAAACCTGTACAGTGTAGAAAAAGAGGGCAAGTCAGTAAACACAACTGCCAAAGAGATAGAGCAGGTTCTAGGCATTTACATGCATATGGGGTTAGTACAGATGTCTTGTGTGAGAGCCTACTGGGAGATGGAGACAAAGCTCCCTGCAGTTTGTGATGTGATGTCTCGAGGTCAGTTTCTGAAATTGCTGACACTGATTCACTTTCAGGACAACCTCAGCGTGTCTGATGATGCAAAGAAAGATAAACTGTGGAAGCTCAGGCCATGGTTACAAAAACTGCGAGAACAGTTTCTCTGCATACCTCCTGAAGAATGCCATGCAGTTGATGACATTATGGTGCCATTCAAGGAAAAAGCTCATCTACGTGTCTATATGCCTGCAAGACCTCACAAATGGGGTTTCAAGATATGGGGATGTGCTGGACAAAGTGGCTTTCTTTATGACTTTGATGTTTGTCAAGGTGCAGAAAACCCAGACAGAGAAAAGTCTGAAGTTGGTGTTACAGGAGAAGTTGTACTGAAAATGACATCAACACTTCCAGCAGAAAAAAAAAAAATCACAAGGTCTTTGCAGACAACCACTTTACATCAGTTCCCCTGGTGCAACACCTGAAAGAGAGAGGAATCCACTACATTGGCACGATCCGGATGAACAGGGTGAAAGGCTGCACCATGATGGATGAAAAAGAATTGAAGAAAAATGGAAGAGGGTCAATGGACTTCAGAGTGAACCAGGACAACAACATCATTGTAAGATGGTACAACAAACAAAGCAGTGAACCTGATTTCCTCTTTTGTTGGCATTGAGCCTGT